TGCTCAGACCGCAAAGATCATCAATTTGAAATTTCCGAAAGGACTGCACAAAATCTTCTCTTTTATTTCCCATTTTGCTTAACATTTTCCCATTCTTTTCAACCCTAAAAATTGAGCCAGCTACTGATTGGATCAGCTTCATTTGTAAAACCATATACTTTTATATGTTTATTTTTTTTGTGTCAAATTGAAGTTGCAAGACGTTGAAAATATAATTGACCTTTTAGCTCAATAATTGTCTCTAAAGGAACTGCAAATGCAATCTATCTTATGCACATATATACTTATCTAATCCACAGAGCAAGAATCCATGTCAAGGAACTTATGAGAAAGTTGTCTAGAGAAGTTAAAATAAAGGGTAACTTGAAGTTTCTGTTTTGACTTGTGATTGCACAGGCCAACTTCTACATATTCTCATTGACAGGCAATGACTCTCTCTTGACTTTAAACTAATTCTTTCTTTTTCTTTTTTCTTTTTTGCTCTGCCTTTCTTAGGCTCATCATGTGCTCATACCTCTCTTGATGATGAAGAACTGTTGAAGCAATGAGAACACTTTCTTTTATCATTTCTCTTTTTCCCCCCCCTTCTTTTTTGCCTTTTTATTAGCTGGCTTAGATTAAGAGTTTTCCAACTCTAAATTGCACTACCATTAGCATAAAATCACTTTAATCAAAAGCGATTAAAGTTTGTTTAACATCTCTTTTATTGGGTGCTTAATTATTGTTTAGTGTAATTTCCATTGAAGAATTCACTTTACCAGTTTGGATGAACATATTCCCATCAATTGGTACTTTAGTATGTTATGCAAATCGACGCACCTACACTTACAAGAATCATCCATATGTCAACGCTTGTTGGTTGGATTAATTTGATAAAATTAATGCGCGCATTTGGACAAAAATAAGATTAAATATAGTTCATGGTCAAATTAAGAGATTTACTCTATTATTTTGAGCATCTCTTCACTTTTTTAAAACACATAAATAAATTACATTAAAGAATCCTTAAACCATCTGAATTACATGATATTAGTTATTTTTTTCTGACTTGAGAAGTCAAGGTCTGTCCCTTATGAAAGGCCGTAGTTTCTTATCAAGAAAATGAAACTTTGAAGGCAATTAAATTGAGAGTTGAGTCACATAATGAACATAAATTAAATTTAATGAAAGACACTAATGACAGGCTCATATTCAGTTCAGCTGTCAAATTTCTATGATCTAAAATCTCTAACCTGGGTTTTTGTACTGTATTTAATCGAACAAACTTCACAGATTTTGTTTTTTATACACAGTGGAATTATTATCAATTTCACTCTGGTAGTATAGAATTCCTTCCTCTATCATACCTTGTGAACATGAATCTCCCTGTTGAAAATGATCTCTTCATTGCTACAGGCATCCTTTTCATAACCATATTATTCACAGAAAGTAATTCTTCATCAGCAGATTGTTTAGAGGATCCAGTTCCTGCTGAAACTACCTTTTGAATTTCGATTTTGGACTCTTCATTGTCGGTGTCTTCACTGGCACGTAATATATCAGCAATCGAAACACGATCTTGACACAGAGAAGAATTCAACGAGACTGATCTCCTAATTGGCTGAATCCCATTTTCTTCAACTTCTTCCACATTTACTACACTACCAGGAGCTTGATTTGGTGTCTTTGGCCTCTCATGACTGGGAACAAAACCGGCAGTGGGAGCAACAGCAGTGTCTTCACAGACGCCCATTTCGAGATCCTGAATCACTAAAACAGAATCATTTCTACGTTGGTATTGCAGTGCAGATACAGCAACACCACGGTGGATAGTTTCCTCGGCGGGAGGATGATGATTAGGCCCAGAAATCGCGTTGGCCGGAGCAATATTAGCACGGCAAAGAGGACAACTAGAGTGAGACGTTAACCAGGTATCAATGCACGTAACATGGAAAAGCATGATTGCATTTTGGCAACAGCCTAAGCTCTCATTTTCTTCAACTCACTCAGACAAACAGAACAGTCTGTGCCGTCAACCAATCCATCACCTTTCTGTACTTACAGACTGTGATGGATTTGAT